GTAAACCCATCATGACAGTGTGGACGGGGCCTATGTTTCTCGGCTGGCCTGGGAGCACCTTGGGATTCCCCTGGAGGAGTTGGCCTAGGTGGCTGGGGTAAGGGACGTCTGGGCCTCCCTACTGAAACTGCTACCCCTGCGACCCAACCCCAGGTAAGCAGAGGAAGATGGATGGATCAACATTCAGTAGTATAATGTTACATTTTTATTCCATTTGTTTGTACTTATTTAATGTTTCTTTTTTTTTATTGTATTCTGTTTTCTATCATGTTGATTTGGTCACATTGTATGTTGTAAGGGGCTATATAAGACAAAGAGGGAGAGGAAAGAGAGAAAGAGAATGAGAGAGAGAATATTCATTTTTACTTTTTCTATGGGATATGGTTTCCATTTTTTGGACAACATGACAGACGTGAAAAATGTGGCACAGTCCCCCACACATTAGGACATCTGGTCATCATACCTGGCTCTCAATATTCTATTTAAGTGCCTCTCACTACTGAGAAATCCTTGCAACGTCAAGCTTTTCAGAATCTGTTTATGCCCAGTCTAAAATAAAACTAAATCAGACTCTCTGTGTTATGTTCCATCTGTTCCTCTAACTGTTTGAGGTGAGCTTAGATTATGTTGTTGTAGTATATGTGTGCAATATAAATTTATGTTGTGGCTAAATAAAAACTTCATGGGAACAAATTTGTATTTCTTGTAGATGGCATATGGCTCATTGCTTTATAAAGATTTGATCCAGGCCTATTTTAAAGTGGAACAAATGTATCATCTAATGCAACTTTATACTAAAGACATTTTTTACCCATGAATCTTTGTGAATTAAATCATTTTTATTGTTTGTTTAGGTCAATAAATTAGTGTCCAAAAATATAATTTCGTGCAACTGTAATTTATCTGAAAATGAACCAATTTCTTGTATAAAGTTAAAGTAAAAGCTAAAATAAAACTTTTAGGGCCTCGTTGTGTAATTCAAAGTGTTGTGTGTTACACTGAATGTGTTTTTTTTTTTTTTTCCACAATGTGTCCAAGAACTTCCTGTTCTTTTTTTGTGGTGATTATTTGATGGTTACACCACTTTTTCTGTAAATTATAGGTTTAATTTGTCAATATCATAATCCCTGCAAATTAAGATATATTTATTACAAATTTTGCAGAGCATTGATATAATAATGGCAGGTATAATATATGCATGTATGCAGAACATATTGTCTGGATCAATGGGCTGTTTTACTGTGACCGAATATGCTAATTTCATAACCCCATATTCATTGTATTATTCCTCCATTATCACCTAATGTAGAATGTATCTCACTGAACCTCCTGCTAGTGTTTGTTCTATTACCTTCCAATCCAGTCCAGTCTGGTGTGGCAAGGGTCCCCATTCCAGGCTTTTTGATCCCTCTACACTCGTTACCATAAGAACCTTGCCCTTTTTGGAGTTCCATTAGGATTGTTGAAGATTTTGCAGTTTCAAGACCAAGAGCTTTGGATTTTTGTTTTGTTTTCCTTGGATGATTCTTTTTTACCTATAGCAGCATTCATTTATTTATTTATGAAATTAAAAAATTGTAACTTTTAACATCCTGCCCCTTTGTATGAGTGCTTTTCCTTGATGGATCCTGAATGACAACTGGTTTATCTGTCTTGTTTCTTCTGGTTAGCGGGTTACAAGCTTTTACCTGGTCCCAAGCCAGAAAAATCCCCCTTGACTGCAGAAATGCTGCCACCAGTTGCTTGGGTGAGCCCTCATCCAGCTCCTTGCTATGTTCTGCCCTGTCTGCTACTGCCTTTGCATATGATTTGGGTTTAAAGTTGATAACATATTTAATCCCTGTGTTTTCCTAAAGGTCTGTGACCTGACATTCAAGGAAGGCAAGCTGCTTTTCCTTCTCTGCATATTACGTAAAGAGCACCTTGACCTCTACAACCAACTCTGACATGTAGAAACTTCCTCTCATTGGAAGTCCAGTAGGTTTTTTTGTGATCATCCATTACCAGGGTAAAGTTTTCTCCTCTCGTTTTTATAGTGTGTCCCATTGGTTATAATGCAACCACTCCATTCACTTAGGCATCTTAATGTGGTGATCTCTGGCAGCATTTTATATGTAGAATCAGAACGGAAAAGAATCAGTATTATGAAAAAAAGAAGCTGGTCTGCTTACTGAAATTGCTGGTCTACTGGTATTTTCAGTTCAATTTCAGTAAATGGCATTTACATGGTAACAATGCCTAGTTCTAGGAGGAGCATGACTATGGCTATGTTCACAGTAGAGCCTGAAGGGACCCAAATCCGCACATATGCGGATTTGGGTCCCTTAATTTTTTGCACATATGCAACCTGTATCTGATCTTTTAATGACAGTCTGAACAACACAGATCCGATTTTTTCCAGTGCGACCCAGACCATGGATATGTGGTCCTGAATCCGATACGAATCTGATCTTTTCAAATTCATTCATCTAACCTGAACGTCATTAATACTCAACAAAGGTCACTATTCTGCATCTTGCTACGCAGAAGCGAGGAGAAAAACAAAAACCATGGTGAAGACCAGTCTTTTTTTTAACAATTTTGAAAAGACAGATTTTTTTTTAAAGTTGGTAAAGATTGCTTGATGCGCTCCAGCACTACTATGCATGTTTAGTTCGGTAAATATAGAGCACACTTGCTTGTGGCGTCATTGCGTTTTCTACTGTGCATGTGGGACACTTGCACTGTATTAATACAGTTCACACAGGAGATCACATACAAGTTGCATATCTTTGGAAATGTGAATGGCAACGCAAAAAAATACGGTTTCACAAAAAAATTGGAATTGAGCATTAATGCCTGGAATGTGAACCTAGCCTGTGACTTCAGCAACCTTTGTTGGTCAAAGATCTTTATCAAAGGAAAGTAAATTTTAAATGTGGTGGATATTTGGAAAATGAATGTTCAGCTGACTGATGTAAATGTACTGCATTAAATAGAAACCTTGTTAGATCTATTGTATAAGATCCAATGCATCTTTAAGGCAATAGAGTCCATCGTATTGTTGCAGATGTTAACCTAATATGATATAGTACTTAATAAAGTGATAATGTGTATACATTAAATTTCAATAATATTTTGAATAAGAAGTTATAGATATAAAAATAAGGATAATCTGAAATAGTTATGGACAGGTCTAAGCTTGAAAAAGAAAATACAGTAGATTTAATAATACCAATAAGTACATCAATAGATTTTGTTTAGTATTACCATTTTTGTGGGTAAAAATGTTTTTTGCTATCTCAATGTCATCTAAAAGATACATTGAAAGTGATGAAAATCATTTAAATTTGCACAAACTTTAAGGTGAGCTTGCATTTGTGAAAATAATATTTTTAAAATGTCTTCATAGAGTTGCAAAAAAGAAACAAGAAAAACACAGAGGGTGTGCTTTGAAAGAGACAACAGATATAGATGTCAGTTTCATTGTATTCATCATCAGGTGTGTTTACAAATGTGCTCATAGTACACATCTAACAAAGAGTCTCTCGCTGTCAGTGTAGGTAACAGCTTCACAATACTGACACCCACTGAAAAGCATCTTATCGCACAATTTCTACTCATAGATAAAGCTCTCTCATATATTATGTAACATCTACTTGTGACTCATGGCACAGTTGGCCTTTCACAAAGGCTGAGATACTGACACATATCTACTGTAAGTAAACCACTGCAGGAGAAAGCAGTCAGAGTAAATAGACATAAAACAGTCTGATGCACAAAAATAAAAAACAACAATAAAAATAATATCTTGTTTTTGCACATTTGTTAGAGCCAAAAAAGACACAGCAGTATACTGGATCTTTTTTGGGCAGTTTTCTGACTATCCAAGGGGATGATTATTCAGATATCTTTTAGTGAACTTCTCTTATCACAAATCCTATTAATAAATATGTCCACTTGCTGGATATTGGTCCTTCATCTTGACGGTTAAAGTTTATTAGTTTCACAAACTAAAAAAAAAAAAAAAGTCAAGCAAAAACAGAAAAAAAAAACAAAACACAAACAATGATATTGTTTTATTCCAGTGCCTGCATATTTTAGTTCTGATCAACATTATATGAAACTTTATTACTCTTTGATCAGTGCACATAAATACCAAAAAACAAAAACAACTCTTCTCAAAACTCAAAGTCCCCCCTGCAGATTTTGTAAATTAACTCATCTTTACTCTTGGATAATCTGACTCATTTTAATCCAAACTCTATTGTTGTTAATATTACATAATGATTGCATAAGAAATTTTAACACATCAATGCTGCTCAATGAGAAAGACAAACAGATGGACAAGAAAAAAATATTTTTATCACCGTAAAAAGAACAAAAGAAGCCTCTCTTTAAAGTTTACACACACTTATAACAGCAGAAATGTCCTTAAACTTATTTTTTTACAGGGTGATATTATTAAACACATTGGTGTTTTGTTATTGAGGATTGTGGATCTCCACCCAAGCAAGACCCAGAGTCCTGCCTTTAACAATAAAACAAGAAAAAAGCTCATGTTGCACGCCAATCATTTTAATTTTGCCTAATTCTATTTAAATCAAAAAACAACAGTGGGATTTTTTTACCCTGTAAGTTGTTTTCTAAAAGGCCCTCATGGTCAACCCAAATGTCTTCTGAAGTTTTTTTTAAGATCAGGGGAAACAAATAACTTCATTTAAGCAATACAAAGATTTGGAAGAAACTGAATAAAGACTTTTTTTTGGTTCCGGGATACTCATGCATTTGATGAAAAACATATAGTGAAGAGGAACACCTCAAACTTTTTTATCTTTTCCTCTGAAAACAGAAGTGTGGAACTGTGACACAACTTGGTTTTCAAACAGGTTAGTAATGCCAAAAAAAAGCATCAAAGATTTTCACTAAAAATGGATGAAAGAGGCCAAAGTAAATGCTCTTACATAAGTCCTATTGAAACAAAAATGAAAATATAATAATAATTTTAAGTGAGTGCATCTAAGTACTATCATGTAAGATAGTTTGTCGGTGGTTAGAAAACAATCAATCTTTAAGATCATTGATATGACCAAATATTAGTTGGATCTAATATATATTTATATTTGAGCCTGTATGTACAGATGGAGATTCAACCATTTTATTTTATTTTTACCCAAATACTGCTTTTGAAAAGGATGTTATGATAAATGATTAAAAGGCAAAAAAATGAAAATAAATAATCCAATTTCTGCCAATAAGTATCTGTAAACCTTTCCCTGGAACAATTATTATGTCTTTTTTTCTCTAGCTCACAGAAAATAAATGTTACTGCTACTCACCAAATCCTGTTTTTTACTCATTGTGTTTGATGTTGTTTGATGATTAAATCTAAACAATAATTTAAACTGCTAAAAGTGATCTCAGTTACATTGCAAGTATGTGCTGTATTGCTGTACAAAGCTATTCCTAAAGAGCAGCGCTAATATCAAAACACGCGACAAGTAGGCTTAAAAAAAATAACATCAATGCAATGGTTGCATGCATCGAAAACAATCCCAGTATTAGTGCTACATGAGTAGGGAGGGAAGCTTATTTTGCTCTGGCTATACCAACGGAAAAAAATATAGAAATATTATATACATGTTGCCCTTTACAAAGAGAGCTTCTGTCACCTCCAACCTGCATTTGACATCAATATTTAGTGCAGTGGGAATGTTTTCAACAGAAGATGATTCACAGATGGAACTCTGAAAGTCTCTTTGCTTGTTTTCCATTTTAACTCTAGATTCTGATTAGGAGGGATACATGAATGGAAAAGAGACCATCCCATAAAGACTGACATGCATTGCTGTATTCAAAACAAAAATATGTTTTGTTTGAATTGTTGGCAAGTCATGCAGTTCGTAGTGGATGAGGTCACAAGGGATTTCCTTGCCCTTGGACTTCAGAGTCTAGGCCTGAGTACGTTTTTATATGGTTTGAAAATGAACCGGTACACACCCGACTAATATAAGCCATATCACAGCATTACAGTGCCCTGTAAAAGCATATATAAACCCTTAAACTGTTTTACATTTTGGCATGTGAGAGATATAACATTCCATGCTTTTATTGTTTTTTCTTAATTTTTTTATGATAAACCTACAAAAACTATTGCATTACTGTAAGCAAAACAACATTAATCGAAGGTTTCCAAAATCTGAAAAGTGTGGCATGTATATACTTCAGCTTTACTGAAGATAACATCCCTAAATAAAATCTGTTGTGACCAGTTTCTCTATGGAGGAAAGTAACAGTAACACTGTAAAAATGCAGCTGTTCCAAAAAAGCCTCAGAAAACATAAGTAAGCAAAAAGCATTATAAACCCCGAAGAACAGAAAGGTTAAAGATGTGTAGAATTTTAAAGCAATGTTATTTCATAATAATATTACAAATATTACAAATCCTATTGTCATGGTTTTAGGTTGTTCTTCAATTTACTTTCCTGCTACTCCCCTCTTAAATTTAAAAATCTTGTCTTTTGAATTTCACCTAAATGTAACACATTTTATTTGCAAAAATCAAATATTGCTTAAAAGGGCATATTACATGAAAGTCTAATAACATCAGTTCAAATATGAATTATGTGAATTACTTTAGAATTAGTAGTTTAAAAATACATAGGGGCGATGCACACAATAGAAGACGTCAATTTGCGTTGCCATTTTTTGGACATTTTTCCCTAAGTGAAACAAACTTGTCATTCTTTTGCATATACTTGTATCTGAAAATGTGTTGCCAGCTTAAAAGAAGCAAAAACAACTAAAGATCAATCTACCTTCTCCTTTTTGTTGCAATGGACCATGTTCTGCAACTGAAGAGGGAGAATCTGTTTACATAAGAAGTGTTGTCTCTACAAATCTGATTGATGTTGGCTGTAGACCAGGGACCACAGCCAACAAATGGATGGGGGGACTCTTGTCTCCAAGCAGCAGTACTGGTCTTTTTGACCTACATGCAAAGAATGTCGTTATAAATGGCCTGCATATAAAATCTACAATATATGCACGCTTATAGAAACACTACACATCTATTCACTTGTTTACAATGTATGTAACCCATTTGTTAATTATGAGTGGGTCTTGAACTTATACCTGTTGTTTTTGACTATTGTTCTCCCTTTAAGTAACATCACTTGATCAAGCCGTTTTTCAATATTCAAATGTCGAAGCACCAAATTCAGTATCAAATCAGAAATGTTAAAGTTGTATGGGGACATCCCTAACAGAGAGAAACACATTGTGCAGATTAATTACAAATTATTCAGCTCTCTCTTGGAGTGGAAAGGTGGTTTAAGATAAATGATTGACTTACTGAGGCTTAATAAACATGTCACACTTTAAGATTTTTACATTTAAAACAATATGAATTGTGTTAACCCCTCCCACCTCTCTGCCCAATCCATTGAAATATGTGGTCTTAGTTTAAAAGAGTGAGGGCTTTAAATGCTTTTGCAAGACACTATATTTCAAACACATAAACAAAGGATAAACTCAGTCTTAGATCACTGTCAGAGCACTTAGGCGAACTCTAGTCACAGAGTTATTAGTACTCATGTGATCATCTTAATGGTTATTACCAGTCTGGATAATGCAGTGACATCAGTTAAATTCTTGATTGTGATTCACAGAGGAGCTACATGGTAATCCTCAATCTGCAGGTCTTCCTCAGACAGTTCAAATACTACATACCGAATGTAGAAATAAACAAACAATTATGCCCTATTCCCCCCATCTCCAATCATACACACACACTAGAGATATGTGCATAGATGCCACAACACACACCTTTACAAACACACCCACACACTAACATACACACTGTACTTAATCTGTTTTCTGGCACTAAGTCCTCTTTTTATTCTGAAGTTGTTTATTTCACTTTGTCTTCATTGCTTCCTCCTCCCCGTGTGGTCTGACTTACTGCTGGTGTTGCTTTAGGCTGAAAAACAAAACACAGGAAGGAATTTGTTAGTCTTGTTCAGCAGATTTGACAGGCCATGGCCTTTTTAAGCACATCAAGCATGAAACTCAGTGGGGTGAATAATGTATTTGTTTATTTATCTGTAGGTCAATTTGAGAATTTAATTACAGAGAAGATGGCAAAATAAAACAGTCATCATAAGTCCTAACAAGACAAATGTGCAGCGATATAATACTGTAATTTTTGCATTGCTGCTACTTCTTATAACCAGCTCCACTTAAAACGAATCCACTTTGCTGAAATATTACCAGAGCTTGGCAATATGCAAAACATTAACCAATACTCCTGCTCCATAATTTTCCCATAATGACAGTCATCTATTATGCCTGCTATTTGGCTGTGCTCCAAATTAAGACAAAAGAAATAGATAAGAGCATAAACCCTTATGTATAGTACAATATTTGCTGTGGATTTGGCCTTTATCTCCCACCACTAATTGTATTTCACAAAAACAGCCTCTGTGGTTGCATTCTGTGGCATTATCACAATGGAGTGAAGCATGTTGTGAGTCAAATAAGCCACATTCAAATAAAAAAAATTAAAAAAAAAGTTGAATTGAAGATAGAAGGCATCTTTGTATTAAAGAGGCCACACACCATGGGAAATCCAGGGATTCAGAGACACCTTTTGTATGGAGCATAAAACAAATGTATTATGTGTTATTTATCTCTGGAGAACTATTGTGGAATCAATCCCTTGCCTGGTCTATGATGTTAAAATTAGCTCTGCCAATGAGATTATGCTTTTAGGAAAGTTTGTGTGTCTGTATGTGTGTAGAATAACCATAAAGTTATAGATGGATTTAATGGAATTGTTATCAGAGGTGTCCCTTGTGACAAAGACCAATTCATTTAAATTTTGTGTGAATTTGCTATACTGTAAGTGTAAGTCACAATTTGGGGCCAAATTTGCAGCTTGGCGGAGGGTCTGTGCTCCCTGAGTTTTTTGCTAGATTTTATTATCATAGAGTTATCCGTTATTCTCAGTGTGAGCTTATACTTATCTCCCTTCACTTTAGCTGAAACAAACAATATCAGACATGCATGGGAATGGGATCATTCACTTTAAACCTGGTTGTCAATTTGAGTTTAAATTAAAACATGGAACACAGACAGTATTACCAGTTCCAATGGTTTCATCACAGTCTTGGGTAAATCATGAGTCCGTTATAGTGTGCCCTTATAACCACTGTTTGTGGAAACAGTTCACGAGATCATGAGCTCCATTCATGAGGTCATGAGCTCCATTCATGAGGTCATGAGCTCCGTTCATGAGCATGGTAAGGCAGTTGTTAACTGAAATTCTTTCTGTCCTTTTTTTTTTAAAGTTTGATGTATCTGTTTTTTTGTTAAGCAATCAGCAAATATATCAACTGAACCTAGAAAACTTGTAACAACGGAGGAGCTAAGATGCAGCACGTTTGCCTGACAAAATCGAACCAGCCTGATGGTGATCAGTGCTGTCATCAGCTTGGTAAATTCACTCTGAGCCTGTTAACAGAGGCTGACGAGAAACCTATGTGCAGATGGAGATGATTTTATATTTAGCTCTGTGTACGATCGCACACAGATCCTTTTACCCATTATTTCAGGTGGTTTTTTTTTCCACATTAACCTGAAAATGTTCTCTTTTTTTGTCAGTTTCCATAGAGACAATATTGCATTTTTTTTTAAGTAGTTTATGGAACGTTGCTTTAAACATTATAAAACGTCAATATATAGCTTCTGCTTACACAACAGTCGTTTCTACTGACTTTGTAATTTAGTTTAAAAGTTAACCACATTGTATAAAATAGTTAGACTTTTCTTTGTTGGCTTTGATTCAGAACAAACCCATTTATATTAATTTCTTCCATGACCTAGAACTCAGGGATTTCCCTCAACATTGACAGACCATTTTAATGGCTTCTTTCATTTCAGACTAAGATTGAACATTCGGTTACAATATGAATGGTCACAGCAGGATCTTTTAAATGTATTCTTTTCATAATTTTGATTACCTAAGATTTTTAAATTTAGATTATCCTTGTAATCAACTCTCTCAACAAATTTTTGTATGATGTCTCACAACTGTGTGTTGTTTTATGGATATATTGTGAAGTTTAAAATTTTGCAAGATTAAAGAAGAATGAGTCAAAAATGCATTAATGTGCTTATTATAGCCAGCTTTATGAATGATCATGATGTAATCATTCATAAAGGCTTCCAGCAGATGTCGGTAATCACACCTAAGAATTGTGTTTCATTTACCTGTTCCACCTCTACTCTTTTGACTTTCACAACTATATTTCCATTATCATTTTCAAGTAACATGAATTTAGTCTCTAGAATCAAAGACAATTCTTTTTATAATTATATGATATCATTCAATAGCTGCCAGAGGCACTCACTAGTAAAGAAGATATTTGTATCATCTGCAAACAAAACAAACTTGAATACTCTTGAAATTGTAAACATGTCATGTATGTAGAAAATAAACAGTATTCGGCCCAATACTGATCCCGGTCTTCGGATGGAAAACATACGTTAAAAACAAAAGTCTTTAGAAGGATTTGAAGTTCAAAACATTTATAGACATTAACAGGCACATTACAATACATCTTCGAATGGATTTGGAAAAATAAATCAGATTACTTTTGGACAGAAGTGGAAACAGTGCTATATAAAGGAATTTATAACTAAATATTTCAGTCATCAGCCCCTTAAACCCCTGTCACCCCTTGAAAATTTAGCCAGTGTATACTTGACATATGAAAAAATCTGGCAAAAACGATGGCAAAGGTTGGATAAGTACCTTTTGTATAAGTTATGAGCACGCTGAAGTACACTCAAGCACGCTGAATTGTACAGCAAGTACGTCGAGACATACATTGGGCAAAAGTTACATGTAAGTTATTTGATCATTGATATAACTTAAGTCGAAGTTACTCATAAGTTGTGGTGTCTCTGATGCATCCCGTCACCTGCTCTATTACACTAAAAAGCATTGGGTGAGGGTCTGTTATCCTTGCAGTGGAGCCAGCTTGTTGTCGTGGATGTACGGCAGGTATGATACAACCACTGTGCCCGGATGCATCTCAACTTGTTGTGTCGATCTGCCTTGCTGCCTGCCCTGACCCTGCACATGGCCCCGACCTGCAGTCAGCTAGGGGTGTCTGGCATCTGGGCACTTGCTAACACATGTACAAACTGCCTGGGTAATTTACCTGATGGCTATTGTGGAAGGATATTTTTCCTTGGCTTACTTACGAGATAAAATGTTTTGAGTGTGCCTGCCTGAATAGGAGCGAGTTCAGAGAAATCCTATACCAGCCCCTATGTTGTAATGTTTAAGGTAGGGGGGACAGAAAGCAGATGCCTCCTTACTCTGGACAAGGATGAAGGGAAGGTCGTGAGAGATAAGAATAAGTTCACACAGCCACCTTCATGCCGTGAGCAGGAGACCTGTTCTGAGTGTTTATCTGGCTAAAATGTATGTCCTTGATAAATTAAAATGTTTTTTTCTTAGGAATAACCAAATGTTCAAGTGTGAGAAAGATCTTTATGCAGGGGGTGGGTTTGTTCCCCTGGGGGGAAGAGTGTGTGTGTAAGGTATGTACTGAAATGCCTCAGTCAGAGAGCGCTATCTCTCTCCGTCCAAGGACGTTAAATAAATTTGACATTATTTCTTATAAGAAATGGTTCTGCCTCAGTTTCCTAACTTCACACTATCAATATGCTTTATTGTACAGTAATGGTTTATGGACTTTGGCTAATAGTATGTGAAGGCATATAAACATGCCTATAGAATTTCTTTGTGAAAATTGGTAACATAGTTGTGTGTAATAGTTTTTGTCTTTATTCTTAAATAAGCCAACACTTTAAAGAACTAACTTGACAACTTTTATAACAATACAGTGTAGATCATTTTTGATGATCTTTGGCCAGTTTCATATTGATGTATGAAACAGATTTCTCCTTTGTGCTATTAACTCAACAAAAACCACAATAAAGCGGTATTTGTTGTTTAATGTGTGCCATAACAGAATTATAAATAAATACAAAGAATATGGGGTGTACAGAAGTTATAAAAAGAAAATTACAAAATCACAGAAAACAAAAAAATAACACATGCTAGAAAAAAGGTAAGCTAAAAGTAAAAATGCAGGAACATATACAAAGTCAAGCTGAAGGTGGAGGCAGAAAAAATCTCATGGTCTGTGAAATAACAAGCTGTTAATGGATTAATCCAGTAATCTGTCCCAGGGTCACATACTGTATGTGGAATGTAAGATATATGAGGAGGAGGGTGTGACAGTGGGTTCAAAGAAAGTGCATGTGCCTTTATTAACTGCTGGAGGTGTTCTGTTGATGTGAAGGTCATTTTTGCTTGGTGTGACGGTGTGTGTGTGTGTGTGTGTGTGTGTGTGTGTGTG